ATCTCCTTTGTTAGCAACTCCTGTTGGACTCTGTTTAAAGCATCTCTCGCGGCTGCCCTATAGTCGATCTTGAAATCATCTGCCGCAGTCACTAGTTCAGGTTCACGCGTTTCTTCAGTCACTGCCTGCATCTTCTTAGTTGCCAGCTCTTGCGGTTTCTCCTTCCTGTGTGCCTCTGCTTCAATCAACAGGCGCGCCATGCTGGCTTTCACACCCGATAAAGCTTCCTGATGCCTTGTATGATTGATGTCTGCCACAGCATACCAAAAGTGTGGACAATCCGATTTAAAATAACCCTCCAAGTTACAAAAGAAACACCTGGGGCCGAATTTCGCAATTACCGCAAAGTCTTCATGATTGACTTCTGACGCATCCTCATCCTCGAGGCCGAAAACCATCGCTTTCATACCCTGTTTGCAGGTTGGGCATGCTGATACATGATGGATTTTCCTCCTGTACGAGTCGCTGGGATGATTTCTTCCTTGATCCGCATGACTCCAATTTGTGGAATCACATCTCCCAGTCGCATTTGCGTTCTGCATCGGACTCTTGTTTGAGGTCGGTCCGTTGTCATTTGAACCTCCTCTGATATTTGGCCCCTCGGCCTATTATCCCCTGTGGTATAGCTGGATGAACTTCCCCTACCTCTCGTGGATCCATGTTCTTCTTCTGTTGGCTTGTTCATTGAAGTTCACTCTCGGCCTCTGTTGGGTTCTCCTGAGGTTGCTTGCCTACTCTTCGATTCACTCCTGTTTCCTACGAGCCCCTCCAACCTATCCATGATGAACTGATTGTGCCTATCCATCATTGCGTCTATTCTCGTGTCAAGAGTTCCAAGAGTCTGCTCCTGCTGACTTCTTAACTTCTCCATGTCGTCTCTCAATCGTATCTCTTTTTGCTCAGCTGCCCTCGTCATTCGCGACAAGTTTTTGGCCAAGTGTTCATCTGTCCTCTCCTTAAAGCGCTTCTCACTTCTGCTGACCTCTTGTCAGTTGCGGTTGATCTCTTCCCGCAGGCTTTCTCTCTCAATGTGGATGCCCTCTCCAGTCCACTCATTCTTAGGGACATCTGTTCGTTCTGTTCTCCTATACTGTCCACTATGTTAGTCAAGGCCTCTTCGATTGATGCCCCTTCGTCCACTAATGGCGTCACTAGTGGTGGTGTCACCCTATTGGTTCCAGGCAGTTTGGTGCTAGTTGATACCCGAGTCTTACCTCTCTGTCTCGTTGTTTTTTCATAATCCGCTTCTGGTTCCATTGTTGGGTTACTTAGTCCTGTGTTCCTGCTATCTCCAGGTTGCACTTCTGAATTTGTAAAGGTCACAAACTCTCTTGACTGCTGTGATGCATCTTTGGTCTTGTTTATTGTCCTGACCACACCAAATCGGTCCGAAGATCTAGTTTCCTTGTTGGTGGGTGCACCATTTTTATGAGTCGAGCTGTTGAGACTTGGTTGAGATACGAAGTCATCTTGTTCGTCATCGTCCTCCTCCTCTTCCTGGGTTTCTGCTTCATCACCTGTGCCATTCTTTCCCAAGTCTTTAATGGCATAACGCTAACCACCGCTCCTGTGTCTAGAAGTTCTGTTACTCCGATTTTCTTCCCATTGGTGTCCAGCAGATGTGCAGAGACATCTGCTTCGTATCCTATGTGTACGCATCTTGCTCCATCATGGCGTCATGGCCTATTCTACGGACCTTAAGTTCTTCTTGACCCAAATAGATCCGCCCTATTTGATCACTATCTGTTGTGACGTAGGTCCTAGTATAGATACTGATCCCATCCACGTTCAACATCACCTGATATGGCCCATAGACTTCCACGTAGCGCCCGTGGAGTTTCTTTGTTCGAGGGACACCCGTTGTTAACAACGCTCGCACAGCCCTTGACTCAGTTCGTGGCTCTACCTGTCTCAGATAATCTGCATACGTATCTAGATGCATCATGGTGAACTCTTAAGTTCACTTAGGTTCCTGATCAACTGATGTCCCGCCACAGAGATTATTGACTGTATTCTGCTTCCTTGTGGCACCATGCCGAACGTCTGCCCGGAGATCACATTAAATTTCTTGCCCAAACTGCTGGGTGCTTTCGTTTCTTCGACCTCTGAGGCTTGAGTTTTCTCATTTTCTAGTTCGAGCTTCTCTTTTTGTTCAATCTCTTTGTTAGCAACTCCTGTTGGACTCTGTTTAAAGCATCTCTCGCGGCTGCCCTATAGTCGATCTTGAAATCATCTGCCGCAGTCACTAGTTCAGGTTCACGCGTTTCTTCAGTCACTGCCTGCATCTTCTTAGTTGCCAGCTCTTGCGGTTTCTCCTTCCTGTGTGCCTCTGCTTCACTCAACAGGCGCGCCATGCTGGCTTTCACACCCGATAAAGCTTCCTGATGCCTTGTATGATTGATGTCTGCCACAGCATACCAAAAGTGTGGACAATCCGATTTAAAATAACCCTCCAAGTTACAAAAGAAACACCTGGGGCCGAATTTCGCAATTACCGCAAAGTCTTCATGATTGACTTCTGACGCATCCTCATCCTCGAGGCCGAAAACCATCGCTTTCATACCCTGTTTGCAGGTTGGGCATGCTGATACATGATGGATTTTCCTCCTGTACGAGTCGCTGGGATGATTTCTTCCTTGATCCGCATGACTCCAATTTGTGGAATCACATCTCCCAGTCGCATTTGCGTTCTGCATCGGACTCTTGTTTGAGGTCGGTCCGTTGTCATTTGAACCTCCTCTGATATTTGGCCCCTCGGCCTATTATCCCCTGTGGTATAGCTGGATGAACTTCCCCTACCTCTCGTGGATCCATGTTCTTCTTCTGTTGGCTTGTTCATTGAAGTTCACTCTCGGCCTCTGTTGGGTTCTCCTGAGGTTGCTTGCCTACTCTTCGATTCACTCCTGTTTCCTACGAGCCCCTCCAACCTATCCATGATGAACTGATTGTGCCTATCCATCATTGCGTCTATTCTCGTGTCAAGAGTTCCAAGAGTCTGCTCCTGCTGACTTCTTAACTTCTCCATGTCGTCTCTCAATCGTATCTCTTTTTGCTCAGCTGCCCTCGTCATTCGCGACAAGTTTTTGGCCAAGTGTTCATCTGTCCTCTCCTTAAAGCGCTTCTCACTTCTGCTGACCTCTTGTCTGTTGCGGTTGATCTCTTCCCGCAGGCTTTCTCTCTCAATGTGGATGCCCTCTCCAGTCCACTCATTCTTAGGGACATCTGTTCGTTCTGTTCTCCTATACTGTCCACTATGCTAGTCAAGGCCTCTTCGATTGATGCCCTTTCGTCCACTAATGGCGTCACTAGTGGTGGTGTCACCCTATTGGTTCCAGGCAGTTTGGTGCTAGTTGATACCCGAGTCTTGCCTCTCTGTCTCGTTGTTTTTTCATAATCCGCTTCTGGTTCCATTGTTGGGTTACTTAGTCCTGTGTTCCTGCTATCTCCAGGTTGCACTTCTGAATTTGTAAAGGTCACAAACTCTCTTGACTGCTGTGATGCATCTTTGGTCTTGTTTATTGTCCTGACCACACCAAATCGGTCCGAAGATCTAGTTTCCTTGTTGGTGGGTGCACCATTTTTATCAGTCGAGCTGTTGAGACTTGGTTGAGATACGAAGTCATCTTGTTCGTCATCGTCCTCCTCCTCTTCCTGGGTTTCTGCTTCATCACCTGTGCCATTCTTTCCGAAGTCTTTAATGGCATAACGCTAACCACCGCTCCTGTGTCTAGAAGTTCTGTTACTCCGATTTTCTTCCCATTGGGGTCCAGCAGATGTGCAGAGACATCTGCTTCGTATCCTATGTGTACGCATCTTGCTCCATCATGGCGTCATGGCCTATTCTACGGACCTTAAGTTCTTCTTGACCCAAATAGATCCGCCCTATTTGATCACTATCTGTTGTGACGTAGGTCCTAGTATAGATACTGATCCCATCCACGTTCAACATCACCTGATATGGCCCATAGACTTCCACGTAGCGCCCGTGGAGTTTCTTTGTTCGAGGGACACCCGTTGTTAACAACGCTCGCACAGCCCTTGACTCAGTTCGTGGCTCTACCTGTCTCAGATAATCTGCATACGTATCTAGATGCATCATGGTGAACTCTTAAGTTCACTTAGGTTCCTGATCAATTGATGTCCCGCCACAGAGATTATTGACTGTATTCTGCTTCCTTGTGGCACCATGCCGAACGTCTGCCCGGAGATCACATTAAATTTCTTGCCCAAACTGCTGGGTGCTTTCGTTTCTTCGACCTCTGAGGCTTGAGTTTTCTCATTTTCTAGTTCGAGCTTCTCTTTTTGTTCAATCTCCTTTGTTAGCAACTCCTGTTGGACTCTGTTTAAAGCATCTCTTGCGGCTGCCCTATAGTCGATCTTGAAATCATCTGCCGCAGTCACTAGTTCAGGTTCACGCGTTTCTTCAGTCACTGCCTGCATCTTCTTAGTTGCCAGCTCTTGCGGTTTCTCCTTCCTGTGTGCCTCTGCTTCACTCAACAGGCGCGCCATGCTGGCTTTCACACCCGATAAAGCTTCCTGATGCCTTGTATGCTTGATGTCTGCCACAGCATACCAAAAGTGTGGACAATCCGATTTAAAATAACCCTCCAAGTTACAAAAGAAACACCTGGGGCCGAATTTCGCAATTACCGCAAAGTCTTCATGATTGACTTCTGACGCATCCTCATCCTCGAGGCCGAAACCCATCGCTTTCATACCCTGTTTGCAGGTTGGGCATGCTGATACATGATGGATTTTCCTCCTGTACGAGTCGCTGGGATGATTTCTTCCTTGATCCGCATGACTCCAATTTGTGGAATCACATCTCCCAGTCGCATTTGCGTTCTGCATCGGACTCTTGTTTGAGGTCGGTCCGTTGTCATTTGAACCTCCTCTGATATTTGGCCCCTCGGCCTATTATCCCCTGTGGTATAGCTGGATGAACTTCCCCTACCTCTCGTGGATCCATGTTCTTCTTCTGTTGGCTTGTTCATTGAAGTTCACTCTCGGCCTCTGTTGGGTTCTCCTGAGGTTGCTTGCCTACTCCTCGATTCACTCCTGTTTCCTACGAGCCCCTCCAACCTATCCATGATGAACTGAGTGCGCCTCTCCATCATTGCGTCTATTCTCGTGTCAAGAGTTCCAAGAGTCTGCTCCTGCTGACTTCTTAACTTCTCCATGTCGTCTCTCAATCGTATGTCTTTTTGCTCAGCTGCCCTCGTCATTCGCGACAAGTTTTTGGCCAAGTGTTCATCTGTCCTCTCCTTAAAGCGCTTCTCACTTCTGCTGACTTCTTGTCTGTTGCGGTTGATCTCTTCCCGCAGGCTTTCTCTCTCAATGTGGATGCCCTCTCCAGTCCACTCATTCTTAGGGACATCTGTTCGTTCTGTTCTCCTATACTGTCCACTATGCTAGTCAAGGCCTCTTCGATTGATGCCCTTTCGTCCACTAATGGCGTCACTAGTGGTGGTGTCACCCTATTGGTTACAGGCAGTTTGGCGCTAGTTGATACCCGAGTCTTACCTCTCTGTCTCGATGTTTTTCATAATCCGCTTCTGGTTCCATTGTTGGGTTACTTAGTCCTGTGTTCCTGCTATCTCCAGGTTGCACTTCTGAATTTGTAAAGGTCACAAACTCTCTTGACTGCTGTGATGCATCTTTGGTCTTGTTTATTGTCCTGACCACACCAAATCGGTCCGAAGATCTAGTTTCCTTGCTGGTGGGTGCACCATTTTTATGAGTCGAGCTGTTGACACTTGGTTGAGATACGAAGTCATCTTGTTCGTCATCGTCCTCCTCCTCTTCCTGGGTTTCTGCTTTATCACCTGTGCCCTTCTTTCCCAAGTCATTAATGGCATCACGCTAACCACCGCTCCTGTGTCTAGAAGTCCTGTTACTCCGATTTTCTTCCCATTGGTGTCCAGCAGATGTGCAGAGACATCTGCTTCGTATCCTATGTGTACACATCTTGCTCCATCATGGCGTCATGGCCTATTCTACGGACCTTAAGTTCTTCTTGACCCAAATAGATCCGCCCTATTTGATCACTATATGTTGTGACGTAGGTCCTAGTATAGATACTGATCCCATCCACGTTCAACATCACCTGATATGGCCCAAAGACTTCCACGTAGCGCCCGTGGAGTTTCTTTGTTCGAGGGCCACCCGTTGTTAACAACGCTCGCACAGCCCTTGACTCAGTTCGTGGCTCTACCTGTCTCAGATAATCTGCATACGTATCTAGATGCATCATGGTGAACTCTTAAGTTCACTTAGGTTCCTGATCAACTGATGTCCCGCCACAGAGATTATTGACTGTATTCTGCTTCCTTGTGGCACCATGCCGAACGTCTGCCCGGAGATCACATTAAGTTTCATGCCCAAACTGCTGGGTGCTTTCGTTTCTTCGACCTCTGAGGCTTGAGTTTTCTCATTTTCTAGTTCGAGCTTCTCTTTTTGTTCAATCTCCTTTGTTAGCAACTCCTGTTGGACTCTGTTTAAAGCATCTCTCGCGGCTGCCCTATAGTCGATCTTGAAATTATCTGCCGCAGTCACTAGTTCAGGTTCAAGCTTTTCTTCAGTCACTGCCTGCATCTTCTTAGTTGCCAGCTCTTGCGGTTTCTCCTTCCTGTGTGCCTCTGCTTCACTCAACAGGCACGCCATGCTGGCTTTCACACCCGATAAAGCTTCATGATGCCTTGTATGCTTGATGTCTGCCACAGCATACCAAAAGTGTGGACAATCCGATTTAAAATAACCCTCCAAGTTACAAAAGAAACACCTGGAGCCGAATTTCGCTATTACCGCCCTCATGAAATCTTCATGATCGACTTCTGACGCATCCTCATCCACGAGGCTGAAGCCCATCGCTTTCATGACCTGTTTGTAGGTTGGGCATGCTGATACATGATGGTCTGTCGAACTGCAATTTGCACAAGAGCGTCTCTTGTCCATGTCGTCCCTTGGTTTGTACCAATTGTTGCCCTGGTTAGCTGGTCCATTGTTAAAATTGCCAAAACTGTTTTTGTAATAGCCAGATCTCGATGGAGGCTTTAGTAGAAGATATTCCTTAGATTTGAGTCTCAATTCTTCTGGTGTAGGCGCATTAGTTGAAAGTGGTGTAATGCGTTGCCAACATTATTCGAAGCTCATCGTTCTTCACACCATCGATGAATTTTGAGGCTACTGCTAGGTTCATCCTGCTATTTGACTCATCTGGTTGACTACGCCTTCTAAGCATCTCCAGATCATCTAAAAACATGCCTATCGTTTCATCTTCACGTTGCCTCCGTTTCTCGAAGCGCATCATTGCTTGGTGTCCTTGTACCCCTGAGCCAAAACGATTCAACAAAATTTCAAAGATCTTGTCGCCTGTGTCCCTTTTTGGCCATCACGCAATTCAGGGCTGTCCCTTCTAGGTTGCTGGTGAGCGCACTGCATTCTTGTCTTTCCGTCAAGTCTTTTTCCTCAAAGTGCAGCTTCAAGACCTCTACCCAGGTATCTATACAGCCGTCAGATTCGTCTTTATTGCATCTTGGTTTCTTAAATACCCTCCTGGACCTCTCGCTGCGTTTACTGGTTCTGGATAACCGCGTTAGGAAAGTTTCCAAGCACCTGTTCAGGGGTTCAAATGCTGTAGCCATTTACGTTGCATCTCGTGAATTTGGTATTAATTAAATTCAACTCAAGACATTCCGGGAAACTAAAAGTTGTTAAATTGGCGAGATACAGTTCTCTCCCGAGACTTGAATCCGGACGGAGAACTGTCTTGTCTCTTTCCGAAAGGCTGGTCGCGACGTTCCAACACGCTTCCTGGTTCTCGGAATTCGCTTTGTAACGATTGTAGCGGCACAATCGTTACAACTTGGAATGGTCTTCTGTCAATACTTCCGATCACAATCGCAATTTGTTGTTATACTCTCGTTCGACTTATCTGTCTTCACGACTGTGTTGTTGGGTTTTTTCGCAGTTTTCAGATGTCGCGCAAAATAGAATTGGTACGGGTCTCTCACGCCCAAATCGAAAATTTAAAAATTAACATGTCACACCGAATTGACCATTCACAATTCATCAAACTGGACGACTAACACCGTTATTGCGCTAAAACCACCAATTTTCTCCTTCAGCTGCTATAATAAAAATTCGAATTCGAACTGCATTTTGATACATTCTGGTCGAATGTCACACTGGTTTGCCTCAATTTTTTATCAATTGGAAAATTGGGAGAACTTTAGATTTTTGTTGGATCAAGCTTGCTTAAGAGTTATGTTGAAAACTTTTCAATTGATGCAGTTTTGTGTTCATGTTTCTTTTCTGAACTAAATTTCCATAAGCATTCTTTCGGTAGATTTAAGAAAAAAGAAAAATCAGACCTAGGTTTCATTGCAAAACTCTATTTGTTTTTCAGTTATGAAACTCTCAAGAAAGGTTTGCCATAAAAATTTTCAGATAATATTCAATAGGTTTGCTCTTATTTATTTGACCAAATTTTTGTTAAAATACACACATAAATTCCATTTCTACCATGTACTTATGTATTCTAAATAGCGGAAATTACGAAAATTTTGCAAGTATTTGATTGTAATTGGTTAAAAAAAAGTAATTCTGATGACAAAACTTACAGGAGTTACTCAATTAGAGAAATTTCATCTGCCAAACGTTAGATTTGCACAAAAGATATATCTGTGGAAATTGAGAAAAAGTGTACTTCCACCAAATTGAATAAAACTTGTCAAATAAGTTTTTGAAATTTCTCATAAGTTTCCTCCATTATTTCCCATTTTTAAAAACACCATAACTGTGATAAATACTGGGATAAACTATGAATTTGTGTCAATTTAGCAAAACTTCGAAAATTTTCAGAAATTGCACTATTGACAAAAAACGAAGATTCGAATCATGAACATAATTTTTTAAGAAAATAATTCATGAAAATTTGAAATATTTTGCTATTAATGATCGAAGAAGAGGGTTTTGTTGACTAAGTTTATCTTTACTTTCACAAATAAAAACCAGTAAAAAAAGATATATGAAAGGTGTAAAATGGAAAGAAATTGGATAAATGCTGAGTCTAACATGAAACACTTTTACTTACTTGTTCAAAAATTAAGATAATTTTCACAATTCTTCCGATAATTTGGAAGTTTCATCATTGGTTCAAATGATCTGAGCGTTGTTTATAGTTTTCACAGCACTATAAAACACGCATCTTAGCTTTAACTAGATCCAATTTTATCGTATTTCTTTTTTTGAGGAAAAAATGAAGAAAAAAAAGTTTTGTGTCATTGTCTTAACATGATACCAATTAATCAACAATTTGGATTTTCAAATCTTTTCTCATTAAATAGCATTAATTTTTTTTTAATTGGATGAGCAATTTCGAAAAATACCCAAAACTGCAAAACTTTTCCAAAAAATGAGATTTTTTCCAAAAACTTACCATCTGAAACTTACCATCCGAAACTAATTATTAGACGTTGAGAAATTCCCTATTCCCTATCTTAATACATAGGATTTTTAACATTCCTGTTTAGAATCTTACACATTGCTGCATCGGCAAAATTGGGCGCCAAAACTTTTTTTCTCGTAACTTACCTTGAGAAACCTATAACCTGAATACATGGGAAATCTATTCCCTATGTTAATACATAGGGTGAAGAACGGATAGTCTATAACCTCTATTAATACATTTCGGCAAAATCGGGCGCCAAAAATTTTTGGCAAAACCAACACGTCCTGATAGAGGTTTCTTCAATACGTTCATTGACAACTAATAATCTTTGCACTGAAATGCGCGACTAAGAAAAAATAATGATCTGATAACATTACATTCCCCAGTCCGCTAATGTAAAATAACATGGTTCTTTGTTTCCACTCAACCTTCAAAATCTTAGCACTAAAACAATCAGGGTAACACAAAATTAAATTCTCGTGTTATCTCCATAGGAATCGATCAATCATGAGCCAATTAGAACAAAACCTCAACAAGATCAAAACCTGCATCAACAATTTCAAAAGCAGCCAATCCAGTTTAACAAATCAGTGTAGATTCTCGTACCATTTCCCCTTTACCAGACCACTGAAGAGCGATTAACGTCGTGGCGCAAAACTTTGAGAATAGCACCATAACAAAAAATCATGTCTAAACTCGATTTGAAAATTGGCTTTGGCAGAAAATAGAAATAAAACAACGCTTCTGGTGAACGAAACCCTTTTTGTCACATCTTTTACTAATGTCTGTCATGTTTCAAGTCTCTTACAAACAGTATACGGATACAATAATCTGGGATTTCATAAAATTAAAAAAAAAAAGAATAAAACAAATGCAGGGGGTTTCGTCCAAACTGGATCTACATTTTGTTTAAAACTTGATTGAGTTCACTTGCATGTTAATAATTCCTCCCATGTACTGTCCTCGTTTCTTCTTAGTCTTCTCATGTTTGAAGTTTCTGCCCTGAACTGAGGAGAGCTGTGAGTTCGCCTTTTGACCCCAACTGCCCTGATAGTTCTTCAACGAGTGGTAGCTGTTGTTCAACTGACTCAAAGCGTCTTGATTGTACTCTTCGGCCTTCACTCGTCTGAATGGTTCACTTTTTCGTCCCTTCGCCTCGTCATGGTCATTTTGTTTAACTGGAGTAGCCTTTGCAATCACCGCACTCAGGTCGACTGACTTTCGGGCTTTTTTGTTGTAATAACTATCGTTCTAAAATCGATTATATTTATAGTTCAATAAAAAAACTAAGGGTTTTTAAACAATATTTCGAACACAATTTTTGACGTGTTTCTTTTTCTAGAATTTCAAATAAAAAATTGAGTTAACCTCATTCAATAGTATGAATAGTATGGAAATATATCAAAGTGCATAGTAAAAGAATCAAATTTCTTCATCTTTTAGTTTTATGAGGGACAATGTCCCGCAACCAAAATAGTATTTAAATGTTATATTTCAATATAAAGAAAATGCCAATATAATAAAATATCTGTTAATTAAAACAGAAAGGCAATTTGAAAAAAAAACTAAGATAATCCATAATTTGCATAATGAAAGTTTTCCTGGGTAGTCACGACTCGTTCTTTACAAGCCCAAACTGACAAGAAATGGATTGCAACCGATTGTATACAGCTTGCGTCAAAGACCTTAAAAATGCTACGAATTTATTTAAAATTGATTTAAACCACTTTTTGGCTGCTTACGGATTATCGAAGGTTGGAAAAGAGTAATAAACGCATGTAAACATAAAAAAAACACTGACCTTCTTGAAAAAATCTCTTTCGAATTTCAGAGAAAAAAGATGCCTGCTAAGCTCTTTGAATTTCTAGAACAATTTAGGATTGGCGCTTTTCTAATTTTGAAACTTCAAAAATATATGGCCTTAAAGCTCTTTTCTAATTTAAAAAAAATAAACCAATTTGAGAAAAATGGAACACCAGGTAAAATTTTATTCTGCGGGAAAAACAACTTTCGAAATTAGAAGTCGACTACATTTTTCATGAACTTAAAAATTTAGCTGATCGATATAGGCATTTGCTTTTCTTTTAACAAAGGAAATAAAGTGAACTTAAAAAAAAAACAAAAATCACACCGCGAAAAGTAAAAAATGAGCGTGAACAATTTCTTAGACTTTCCTGAGACAAAACATCAAGACCTTTATAAGAGTCTGACTAAGTTCACCAACTCATGAATAACATAGCCAACTGACAGTTTGAAAAGAGTAATCATCACACGAAAACAGAATAAAAACAGACTTTGTTGAAAAAATCTAAACTTTCGAATTTCAAAAAAATAGATACCCTTTAAGCTCTTTGAATTTCTACAACAATTTAGTATGGGCGCTTTTTTGATAACAATAACCCAACTTGAGAAACCTGGATCAATAAGTTGAGTTTTTATTCTGCTGAAAATCTAAAATATAAATTCAATTTTTCGAAACTAGGAACTGTTCACGTTTTTTCCGCCATTTCCACGTTCGTATTTGGAGAGTGCTATTTACGTAACTTTCAGCAGATGAATTTCAACTGAACTCAAAAAGTGAACTATACCAAAAAATACATCAATATTTTAAGTCTTTTTCCTGAAAAAAAATCAGCAAGACCTATATAAGAGTCTTCACTACGTTCATTACTCTTATTAACAAGGAATTCCCGTAAACTCTCCTCGAGTACCTCTAGCTCTCATGGAGATAAATCTTGATTAAAAAATTTAGCTAAGTTTTGAATATTTAAAAAAAATTTTGAAACAAAAAGAACAACTAAATTAAATCAATTTTGCTAAGATTTTGATGGGTTTTAGTATATGGCAAAAGTCCATCCAAATCAAATTTTTAGGAAAAAAATTAAGTTTATTTTTCTACCGTAAAAATCAGTTCGAATTCATTCTAATTCGTTTTACGTAAATAAAACAACTACCATAAATCGATTTTTGTACTGTTTTTTTATCAGTATAACAATCGATTCAAATCTGTGGCATTCACAAAAGATGTTTTTTTCTATTTTTAAAAATCGATATAAAAAACACAAAAGCGAAGCTGCGCTTGGCAAACACTAACAAAAACACGACAAAAAAGCAACTTTACAAAGTAAAATAAGATAAAATAGAAATAAGCCTCTAATTAGGAAAACTTTGTTACGGATTGGTTTCGAACCTGTGACCTCAAAAATTGGAGTTTCACGTCCTGCCATCTCGGCTGCGAGCGCTTAACAATCAGCAAATACTAGCCAAAAGTGCTAGTAAATTGCCAATGTCATGCAGCAGAAGTGGCACCAAATACAAATAGACACAATTTAGCATGTAATAATTTGGAATATAACAAACTGAAGGCATCCACACTAACTTTGCACATAATAAATTGGAAGCATAAAACCACATTGTGTATAAAATATGCATTTCAAAAAACTGAGAGATATTTTGAGTTAGAAAATTTCTGAAATCGAGTTTTTGTTATTGCTATTTTGTTTGAAACAAATAGCTGCTTTTGGTTCATTTGATGAATTAAAAATGCATCAACTGTGTTAATATGTTACAACTCGAATTTCAACGCACATGCTATCAAAATACAAATAAACACCAAATACAAATAGACACAATTTTGCATGTAATAATTTGGAATATAACAAACTGAAGGCATCCACACTAACTTTGCATATAAAAAATCGGAACCATAAAACCACATTGTGTATAAAATATGCATTTCAAAAAATTGAGATATATTGAGTTAGAAAATTTCTGCAATCGAATTTTTGTTATTGCTATTTTGTTTGAAACAAATAGCTTCTTTTGGTTCATTTGATGACTTAAAAACGCATCAACTGTATTAACATATTACTTCTCGAATTTCAACGCACATGCTATCAAAAAGCCGTACAAGTGCCACTAAATTAGAAAAAAAAGAATAGTCGTACTAAACACAACACAAACGCTCACTGAAGTTCGTTAGTGTCATTAAGACCAGTTAAAAAAACTCTCGACTCATTGATTTGTTTTTCATTGCACGCAAAATTACTCGTGAAATCTAAAACGTCAAAACGAAATAGGTTTTTTTTTCAATTAGTTGAACCACAAAATGGCATTTGTAACTAAGAACAAAACTGAGCGGACACATGATAAAATAAAAATTTGATTTTTTCAAGGCTGAAGTATTCCACTGAGCAAAAAAACTCTTGTCCGAAATCGAACCCCAGACCCTTGCCGTCCAAACCATGGACGATACATCTCAGGGATTCTGTTGCACAAGTTGTTAACCTTAAAATGTCTGTTCTGATTTGATAAAACCAATGCTAATCACAAGCGTAAAAAAGTTATCACTCCCGGCATTAAAAAACTGACAAAACTACTTTCGACAACTCAGATGTAAAAATGCCTTCATGGTGAATGCCAGTGCACGGTAAAACTTTGAAACAAGCAAATATTGACTATTAAATCACATAAATCGGCAGCTCAACTCAGAATTTCAGAAGTTTTGTCTGAACGTGTTTGTGACGATTCATTAAATCGCCACAGCAATTCAGAAAAAAACTTGCCGGGGAATCGAACAACAAAATTTCAAGTTAGCACAAATAACAAATTTGAGTCCGAAAAATTCAACCGCATGTCAAACTTCAAGTCGGTAACGCAATTGGTTTCTGAGACAAAATAAACCTAGCCAATAGACAGCTGAAAGAGAGTCATGAACGCGAGAAAATAGAAAAAACGGACTTGTTTTTTTTTGAAAAACTTCAAATTTCATAGAAAAAATTTTGAAGCTTTAAATCACTTAGAATTTCAAAAATAATTTATGATAAAATTGGCGCTCTTTTGATAAAATTAACCCAATATGAGAAAACTGGATCAGCAGTTGAATTTTAAATTCCACTGGAAAATCTGATAATTAAATTCTACTGTCGAAACAAGGAGTCGATCACGTTTTTCGTGACATTTACGCTTTTGCTGTTCGATAGTGGAGTTTGCCTTCCTTTAAAGAAGGAAAATGAACTAAACTTGAAAAGAAATCGCAAGTCAAACCGCGAAGAATCAAAACTGAGCGTGAACAAAATATAAGTTTTTTAATGAAAAAACCAAAACAAAAAAACTCACCAAGACATATATAAGAATATTCACTACGTTCATTACTCTTAAAATTGAGGGTGAAGAAAACATGCTTTTCATTCATTGAACTTTTATCAGCAAAATAAGATCCCAGTTTCTGTGTACTTTGCTTATTTCAAGAAAAAATGAACTGCGGGAGTACTCAGCAAAATTTTTTTTTTAAATGAAACAAATAACTTTTTTTTTCAATTTTCAATATGAGCTGCAATATATATAGCCCTATCTGCATTTAAGCTAGAAGAGACTCACTATAAATTTGATTATTTCAGACAAATTGTTGGCCGGAATTAATAATAAACTTGAAGACAAATTTTTGATCATAGAAAAAAAAATAGCCAACAGACAGTTGGAAAAGAGTCAATGAACGCACCAATAAGAAAAAAACGATGACTTGAATTTCGAAACTTCAGCTTTCGAAATTACGAAAAAATATATGGCTTTTTCGATTAAAAAAACCAATTTGAGAAAAATAGATCACCAGGTAAAATTTTATTCTGCGGGAAAAACAACTTTCGAAATAAGAAGTCGACCACAATTTTCATGAACTTTAAGCTTTTGCTGATCGATAAAGGAATTTGCTTCTCTTTTAACAAAGGAAATAAGTTCACAAACTCATAAATAAAATAACCAACTGACCGTTGGAAAAGAGTAATCACCACACGAAAACAGAATAAAAACAGACTTTGTTGAAAAAATCTCAACTTTCGAATTTCAAAAAAAAAGATGCCCTTTAAGCTCTTTGAATTTCTAGAACAATTTAGGATTAGCGCTTTTTTGATAACATTAACCCAAATTGAGAAACCTGGATCAATAACTTGAGTTTTTATTCCGCTGGAAATCTAAAATTTAAATTCCATTTTTCGAAACAAGAAACTGTTCACTTTTTGCGCCATTTTCACGTTCGCATTTGGAGAGTACTATTTACGTAACTTTCAGAAGATGGATTTCAATTGAAGTCCAAAAGTGCATTATACCAAAAAGTACATCAATACTTAGTCTTTTTCTTGAAAAAAAAACAGCAAGACCTATATACGAGTCTTCACTACGTTCATTACTCTTATTAACAAGGAATTCCCGTAAACTCTCCTCGAGTACCTCTAGCTCTCATGGAGATTGATCTTGATTAAAAAATTTAGCTAAGTTTTGAATATTTAAAAAAAATTTTGAAACAAAAAGAACAAGTAAATTAAATAAATTTTGCTGAGATTTTGATGGGTTTTAGTATATGGCGTAAGTTTATTTTTCTACCTTTAAAATCAATTCGAATTCATTCTTATTTGCTTTAGGTAAATAAAAAGGCTACCTTTTTCGGTACGTTCATTACTCTTAATAAACAAACTTATTTTCCCATTTATAAACAATTACTAATCGTGATCGTCAACTTAGAGGCAATGATAGTTTGCATATACAAGCAAAATTAAAAACTGGCCATAAAAGTTTTCATTACTGATTAAACGAAAACACTGAGTACTATCCTATGCCGATCCCTTGATCTACAGATTCAACATTCCACTTAGTGACAACTAACTATACCACAGATGCCTGTTGCTGCTTTGTTAATCAATACAGTAAGCAATTAATGCATTTTGATAAAGCGAACAGATCTCTCGATATCATATACACAGAGGCAAAGCTGCGCTTTGCAAGCACTAGCGAGAAAACGACAAAAAAGCAGCTTTATAAAGTGAAAAAAAAAAGAAAAAAAACTTTGGCTATGTGTCGGATTTAAACCTGCAACCTCGAGAATTTTTGTCCACGTATTTCACTCTCAGTCACGGATGCACTCGGCAAACACTAGCCAAAATAAAGCAGAAAACAGATACTATGAAGTTTCCAATATTACAGATCGTGATTATAGCAAACGTGTCATCAAATTCATTTGCGAGTTAGGTTCGAAAACAAAATTGAATCATACTAATACATGACGCTCGCTAGTGTTATTAAAAACTTTTGCAACTGAATCGGCTGCTTAAATTAGCAAAAATTGTGGTCTCGTTAAAAATAAGCGCTCCGCTTCTGTAATATTTGCAAGAGAGGAAATCAAATGATTTCTTGAAGCCCGAGAACAAAACCAAGCATCTGTATCTTACCAATAGTTAGATCCTCGAAGCTCGAGCGAGAATTAAATAGAACTCACACGAATGTAACTCACGGTTTCTTGCCAATCGAATTTCCTCTTCCTTCCTGACTGTTGATTAAGGTAATTTTCTGATTGTGCTTTTGTCTCGTGTTCAGGCTGGTTTGCATCACTGAGCTGATTCAGACTCTTGTTGAGTTTCTTCGCAGGTGGTTGATCAATTGTTTCTGAGGAAATAGTCTTCAGCTTTCTTTTTTGAGACGTATTAACATTTTCTTCTGAATCATCTGTAGAATCGCTGTTGACTGAGTTGGCTGTTACTGCAGGAGTATTTTTTCTTGCTGATACAGACATTTTCTGCTCGCCGTCTGAAGATTCTTCAGAATCAACAATGGCATGCGGCTTCGGAGTTGTAACAGGATTCGCTTTATTTGCTGAAACGGGCTTCTTAGGTTCTTCGTCTGAAGAATCGTCAGAATCATCATTGGCAACAGGCTGCTTCGGAGTTGCAACAGGCTTCGCTTCAGTTGCTGTAACAGACTTTTTAGGCTCGTCGTCTGAAGAATCGTCAGAATCATCGCGGGCAACAGGAGGCTTTTGAGTTGTAACAGGCGGCCTCGGAGGTGCAACAGATTTCGGTGTAGTTGCTTTAACAAGTTTTTTAGGCTCGTCTTTTGAAGAATTGTCAGATTCATCATTGGCAACAGGTCGCTTCGGAGTTGCAACACGCTTCGCTTTAGATGCTGTAACAAGCGTTTTAGGCTCGTCGTCTGAAGAATCGTCAGATTCATCATTGGCAACAGGCCGCTTCGGAGTTGCAACACGCTTCGCTTTAGATGATGTAACAAGCGTTTCAGGCTCGTCGTCTGAAGAATCGTCAGAATCATCATCAGCAACAGGTGATTTCGGCGCTGTAACAGGTGGTTTTGGAGGAGCAACCGGCTTCGCTTTAGCTGCTGTAATAAGCTTTTTAGGCTCGTATTCTGAAGAATCGCCAGAATCATCATTGGCAACAGGCGGCTTCGGAGTTGCAACACGCTTCGTTTTAGATGCTGTAACAAGCGTTTTAGGCTCGTCGTCTGAAGAATCGTCAGAATCATCATCAGCAACAGGTGGTTTCGGCGTTGTAACAGGCGGTTTTGGAGGAGCAACCGGCTTCGCTTTAGATGCTGTAACAAACTTTCTGGGCTCGTCGTCTGTAGAATCGTGAGAAACATCATCAGCAATAGGCGGTTTCGGAGCTATAACAGGCTTCACTTTAGTTGCTGTAACGGGCTTTTTATGTTCGTCGTCTGAAGAATCGTCAGAATCATTACTGTCAACAGGAGGTTTTGGAGTTGTAACAGGCTTCGCTTTAGTTGCTGTAACAGGCTTTGTAGGCTCGTCGTCTGAAGAATCGTCAGAATCATCATTATCAACAGGCGGCTTCGAAGCTGTAACATGCTTCGCTCTAGTTGCTGTAACGGGCTTTTTAGGTTCGTCGTCTGAAGAATCGTCAGAACCATCATTGGCAACAGGCGCCTTCAGGGGTGCAACAGGCTTCGGTTTAGTTGATGCAACAGGCTCTTTAGAATCGCCGTCCGAAGAATAGTTAGAATCATCACAGGCAACATGAGGTTTTGGAGTTCCTACAAGCTTCGGATTTGCGAAAAGCTTGGGCTTATTCTCTGTAACAGGCCTTTTCGGCTCGTCGTTTGAAGAATCGTCCGTATCGTCATTTCGAGCTAGAGGCTGCGGAGTTGCACCAGGCTTCGGTTTATTTGCAGGATTTTTCGGTTCGCCGTCTGAAGAATCGTCAGACTCATCACTGCCAACAGGAGGTTTTGGAGTCGCATCAGGCTTTGGGCTTACAACAGTCCTCGTCTTCTTCGATGTAACAGGTCTTCTTTTCGGCTCGTCGTCCGATGAGTCGTCAGAATCATCATTGGCAGCCGGGGGCTTCGGAGGTGCAACCGGTTTCCGAGTAGTAACAGGGTTCACTTTGGTCGCTGCGAACGGCTTTTTTGGCTCGTCTGAGGAATCGTCAGAAACATCATTGGCTACTGGAGTCCTCAGAGTTGAAATAGGCGGTTTCGGAGGAGCAACCGACTTCGCTTTAGATGCTGTAACAAGCTTTTTAGGCACGTCGTCTGCAGAATCATGATTGGCAACAGGCAGCTTTGGAGCTGTAACAGGCTTCGTTTTAGTTACCGTAACAAGTTTTTTAGGTTCGTCTTCTGAAGAATTGTCAGAATCATCATTGGCAACAGGCGGCTTCGGAGGTGCAACAGGCTTCAATTTATTTGCTGCAACAGGCATTTTAGGCTCGTCGTCTGAGGAATCGTCAGAACCGTCGTTGGCAACAGTCATTTTCAGTGTTGTAACACGTGGCTTCGAAGCAGCAGTAGTAGGCTTCGTTTTAGTAGCTGAAACAGGCTTTTTAGGCTCGTCATCTGATGAATCGTCAGAATCATCGTCAGCAACAGGCGGCTTCACAGTTGTAACAGATGGTTTTGGAGTAGCAACCGACTTCGCTTTTGCTGCTGTAACAAGCTTTTTAGGCTCGTCGTCTGAAGAATCGTCAGAATCATCGTGGGCAACAGGCGGATTGGCAGCTGTAACAGGCTTTTTGGGCTCGTCGTCGGATGAATCGTCAAAATCATTGTCAGTAACAGGCGGCTTCGAAGTTGTAACAGGTTGCCTCGGAGGTGCAACAGCAGGCTTTGCTGCAGAAACTGTAACGAGCTTTTTAGGCTCGTCGTCTGAAGAATCGTCAGAATCATCATCAGCAACAGGCGGCTTCAGAGTTGTAACAGGTGGTTTTGGAGTAGCAACCGACTTCGCTTTAACTGGTGTAACAAGCTTTTTAGGCTCGTCGTCTGAAGAATCGTCAGAATCATCGTGGGCAACAGGCGGATTGGGAGCTGTAACAGGCTTCGTTTTAGTTGCTGTCTCAGGCTTTTTGGGCTCGTCGTCGGATGAATCGTCAAAATCATCGTCAGTAACAGGCGGCTTCGAAGTTGTAACAGGTTGCCTCGGAGGTGCGACAGCAGGCTTTGCTGCAGAAACTGCAACGAGCTTTTTAGGCTCGTCGTCTGAAGAATCGTCAGAATCATCATCAGCAACAGGCGGCTTCAGAGTTGTAACAGATGGTTTTGGAGTAGCAACCGACTTCGCTTTAACTGGTGTAACAAGCTTTTTAGGCTCGTCGTCTGAAGAATCGTCAGACTCATCATGGGCAACAGGCGGATTGGGAGCTGTAACAGGCTTCGTTTTAGTTGCTTTAACAGGCTTTTTGGGCTCGTCGTCTGATGAATCGTCAGAATCATCGTCAGCAACAGGCGGCTTCGGAGTTGTAATAGGTGGCTTCGGAGGTGCAACAGCAGGCTTCGTTGCAGATGCCGTAACGAGCTTTTTAGGCTCGTCGTCTGAGGAATCGTCAGAATCATCCATAGAAACAGGAGGCTTCGGAGGTGCAAAAGGCTTCGGTGTAGTTGCTTCAACAAGTTTTTTAGGCTCTTCGTCTGAAGAATCGTCAGAATCATCGTGGGCAACAGGCGGCTTCGGAGCTGTAACAGGATTCGTTTTGGTTGCTGCAACAGGCTTTTTAGGCTCGTCGTCTGAAGAATCGTCAGAATCATCGTCAGCAACAGGCGGCTTCGGAGTTGTAACGGGTGGTTTTGGAGGAGCAACCAGCTTCGCTTTAGCTGCTGTACCAAGCTTTTTAGGCTCGTCATCTGAAGAATCGTCAGAACCATCGTGGGCAACATGCGACTTTAGAGCTGTAACAGGCTTCGTTTTAGTTGCTGCAACAGGTATTTTAGGCTCGTTATCTGAGGACTCGTCAGAATCGTCCTTGGCAATAGGCTTTTTCAATGTTGTAGCATGCGGCCTCGGAGAGGCGATAGGTTTTTTAGGCTCGTCGTCTGAAGAATCGTCAGAATCATCGTCAGCAACAGGCGGCTTTGGAGTTGTAACGGGCGGTTTTGTAGGAGCAACCAGCTTCGCTTTAGCTGCTGTAACAAGCTTTTTAGGCTCGTCTTCTGAAGAATTGTCAGAATCATCATTGGCAACAGGCGGCTTCGGAGCTGTAACAGGATTCGTTTTGGTTGCTGCAACAGGTATTTTAGGCTCGTTATCTGAAGACTCGTCAGAATCGTCCTTGGCAACAGGCTTTTTCAATGTTGTAGCATGCGGCCTCGGAGAGGCGATAGGTTTTTTAGGCTCGTCGTCTGAAGAATCGTCAGAATCATCGTCAGCAACAGGCGGCTTCGGAGTTGTAACGGGCGGTTTTGGAGGAGCAACCAGCTTCGCTTTAGCTGCTGTAACAAGCTTTTTAGGCTCGTCATCTGAAGAATCGTCAGAACCATCGTGGGCAACATGCGACTTTAGAGCTGTAACAGGCTTCGTTTTAGTTGCTGCAACAGGTATTTTAGGCTCGTTATCTGAGGACACGTCAGAATCGTCCTTGGCAATAGGCTTTTTCAATGTTTTAGCATGCGGCCTCGGAGAGGCGACAGGTTTTATAGGCTCGTCGTCTGAAGAATCGTCAGAATCATCGTCAGCAACAGGCGGCTTTGGAGTTGTAACGGGCGGTTTTGGAGGAGCAACCAGCTTCGCTTTAGCTGCTGTAACAAGCTTTTTAGGCCCGTCTTCTGAAGAATCGTCAGAATCATCATTGGCAACATGCGGCTTCGGAGCTGTAACAGGCCTCGTTTTAATTGGTGCAACAGGCTTTTTAGGCTCGTCATCTGAAGAACCGTCAGAAACATCGTGGGCAACATGCGACTTTAGAGCTGTAACAGACTTCGTTTTAGTTGCTGCAACAGGTATTTTAGGCTCGTTATCTGAGGACACGTCAGAATCGTCCTTGGCAATAGGCTTTTTCAATGTTGTAGCATGCGGCCTCGGAGAGGCGACAGGTTTTTTAGGCTCGTCGTCGGAAGAATCGTCAGAATCATCGGCAGCAACAGTCGGCTTCGGAGTTGTAATGGGCGGTTTTGGAGGAGCAACCAGCTTCGCTTTAGCTGCTGTAACAAGATTTTTAGGCTCGTCATCTGAAGAATCGTCAGAATCATCATTATCAACAGGCGGCTTCGAAGCTGTAACATGCTTCGCTCTAGTTGCTGTAACGGGCTTTTTAGGTTCGTCGTCTGAAGAATCGTCAGAACCATCATTGGCAACAGGCGCCTTCAAGGGTGCAACAGGCTTCGTTTTATTTGCTGCAACGGGCTTTTTAGGCTCGTTATCTGAGGACTCGTCAGAATCGTCCTTGGCAATAGGCTTTTTCAATGTTGTAGCATGCGGCCTCGGAGAGGTGGCAGGTTTTTTAGGCTCATCGTCTGAAGAAGCGTCAGAATCATCGTCAGCAACAGGCGGCTTCGGAGTTGTAACGAGCGGTTTTGGAGGAGCAACCAGCTTCGCTTTAGCTGCTGTAACAAGCTTTTTAGGCTCGTCGCCTGAAGAATCGTCAGAGTCATCGCGGGCAACATGCGGCTTTAGAGATGTAACAGGCTTCGTTTTACTTGCTGGAACGGGCTTTTTAGGATCTTCGTCTGAAGAAGTGTCAGAATCATCGTGGGCAACAGGCGACTTCGGAGTGGTTACAGGTCGTGTCGGAGGTGCAACAGGCTCTGCTTTAGATGCCGTAACGAGCTTTTTAGGTTCGTCGTCTGATGAATCGTCAGAATCCTCGTGGGCACTAGGCATCTTCGGGGTTGTAACAGACCTTTTCGGAGGTGCAACAGGCTTCGCTTTAGATTCAGCTACGAGCTTTTCAGGCTCGTCTTCTGAAGAGTCGTCAGAATCATCGTTGGCAACCTGAGGCTTCGGAGGCGCAGTGACCTTTGGTTTTGTTGCTTTAAGGGACTTTTTCGGTTCGTCGTCAGAAGAATCGTCAGAATCATCATTGGTAACCAGAGGGTTCACAGTTACAACGGTCTTCAGCTGTTGTGTTTTGACGACCGTCTTTAAAGACCCCAAATAAGACTTAGCTTCCTTGGACATAACCGCAAAGTTGCCTTTCTTTACAACTGCGGGCATTGCTGCTTTTTCATCCTCAGACGAATCGTCAGAATCTGAAGCAATGCCATTTTTAGATGGAGAGTATATTTTGACTTTCCCATTCGAAGCGGTTTTTGGCACTTTAATATCTGAATCATCTGAGGAAACACCTTCCGATCCTTCGTGAACTCCATTGATATTTTTCATCAAGATATTTGGCTCCGTTGATTTGACGAACGTAACAGGCTTTAATTTACTGTTGTTACTCTGCTGCCTTCCAGACTTCGTTTTCATCCCGTATCTTAAAAAAACGTCTACTTACAATCCAGCCGACGAAAATCCATTAACCAAATCTAACTTGCTCTCTTGAACCAATTTTGGTTCATTTTTCATAATTTTTTTCTTAACTCTGTTAAGCCCTATCATTGATGCATGTTAAAAAACAGCTTTTCTAAACAAGAGGAATTGCAAAAAAAGCCGAAATATGATTTAAAATTAGAATAAAAACTAGACAAACAGGCTATACAAAAATTAATGACTATGGTAAGAAAAATACATTACAAAAAATCATTCTTTTTGCAGGTTGAGCTGCAAACCAAACAAACAGATGAACAGCCATCCCTTTTGTACAAACCGAACAGCAAAATTATACAATATCTACAAAATAGACCCTTGAATTCGTGATAACAAAAAGAATGAAACACCCCCACTCCTCAGGTATTTGACCTCATGTCGACCCAAAGGATCCCCCTTTGTACAATTTTGGGATTTCTGGCTCACTGACCCTAAAATGTCTTTGGCGCCAATATAAACCAATGTTAAGGGGGGAGCGCGAGCCGAAAAAAAACGCAATTTTTTGGTCAAAAGTTTCAGAAAAAGGGCCTAAAAACGCCTTTTTTGCTTGTTTTTTTTCAAAAAAATTGCCAGCAGTACGTCAAAACAGGGTCTTTATAGTGAATTGGTAGAGCTCAGAAAATCAAGTTGTTCGACCTGAAAAAAAAGGTCGACAAAATCCTCTCCTCCCTCGAGAAAATTCTAGATCCGCCCCTGTCTAACTGCTAGAAAAAAAATATACTTGGTTTTTAGTCTATCTTCAGGGGCCGAATACAGCGCAAAAAAAACACCACTAAGCGCACAACTTACAATCCATCTTTCAAATCGGCGTATACTGATAAATCGGAGTAAAAAAGAGCGAGAAAAAAGTTGCAGATGTAATAGCCTGGCAAACTGGTTTTTGTAATGCAGAAAAATTCATGTTTGAAAAACCGTATGCCGTCCAAACTCGATCCCCAATGAAGGCACGGAAACTGAAAAAAAAATCGACTTGTTTTCCCATAAATCTTCAACTTTTGAATTTTGTCGAAAACTATATGTGGCCTTAAAGCTCTTCAAATTTGTAGAACAATTTACGATTGACACTTTTTTAATAAAAACAATCCCATTTGAGAAAACTGGATGAATATGTAATACTTTTATTTCGCTGGGAAATCTGATAATTAATATCCATTTTCGAAATTAGAAGTCGATCACGTTTTTCATGACCTTTACTTTTCAATGTTGATGTTCAATAGTGGAATTTGCCTTCCTTTTAACAAAGGAAATAAACTGAACTTGAAAAAAAATCACAAGTCGAATCGCGAAAAATTAAAACTGAGCGCGAACAAATTTGGAGACTTTTTCCTAAAAAAAATCAGCAAGACTTATATAAGAGTACTCATTGCGTTCATTTCTTTTAAAAACCTCAATCATCATACTTCGAAGATAAAATAGATGGCGCTTAAGCTCTTTGAATATCTAGAACAATTTAAGAAGACATTTTTTCGATACACTGAAAGACAGCCAAAATGGAAAAAAGAAATGAAGGCAGGGAAACTGAAAAAAAAATCGACTTGTTTTCAAAAATCTTCAACTTTTGAATTTCGAAGAAAACTATATGTGGCCTTAAAGCTCTTCGAAATTGTAGAACAATTTATGATTGACACCTTTGTTAAAATTAATCCAATTTGAGAAAACTGGATCAATATGTAATACTTTTATTTCGCTGGGAAATCTGATAATTAATATCCCTTTTCGAAATTAGAAGTCGATCACATTTTTCGTAACCTTTACATTTCGATGTTGATGTTCAATAAAGGAATTTGCCTTCCTTTTAACAAAGGAAAGAAACTGAACTTGAAAAAAAAATAACAAGTCGAATCGCGAAAAATTAAAACTGAGCGCGAACAAATTTGGAGACTTTTTCCAAAAAAAAATCAGCAAGACTTATATAAGAGTACTCATTGCGTTCATTTCTTTTAAAAACCTCAATCATCATACTTCGAAGATAAAATAGATGGCGCTTAAGCTCTTTGAATATCTAGAACAATTTAAGAAGACATTTTTTCGATAAAATTAAGAGAACGTTGGATCAATAAGTATTTTTTGCTGGGCAATTAAATTCCACTTTCGCATTTAGAATTCCATCAGTTTTTTCACAACTTTTACAATTTTGCTGTTCAAAAAATCCTTCTTTTCAAGGAAAGAAATGACTGAGGCTTGTCGTCTGAGGAATAGTCAGAATCATCAGGGGTAACAGGCGGTTTCAGAGCTATAACAGACTTTATTTTGGTAGCTGTAACATGCTTTTTAGGCTCGTCGTCTGAAGAATCATCAAAATCCTCGTGGGCACTAGGCATCTTCGGGGTTGTAACAGACCTTTTCGGAGGTGCAACAGGCTTCGCTTTAGATTCAGCTACGAGCTTTTCAGGTTCGTCTTCTGAACAGTCGTCAGAATCATCGTTGGCAACCTGAGGCTTCGGAGGCGCAGTGACCTTTGGTTTTGTTGCTTTAAGCGGCTTTTTCGGTTCGTCGTCAGAAGAATCGTCAGAATCATCATGGGTAACCAGAGGGTTCACAGTTACAACGGTCTTCAGCTGTTGTGTTTTGACGACCGTCTTTAAAGACCCCAAATAAGACTTAGCTTCCTTGGACATAACCGCAAAGTTGCCTTTCTTTACAACTGCGGGCATTGCTGCTTTTTCATCCTCAGACGAATCGTCAGAATCTGAAGCAATGCCATTTTTAGATGGAGAGTATATTTTGACTTTCCCATTCGAAGCGGTTTTTGGCACTTTAATATCTGAATCATCTGAGGAAACACCTTCCGATCCTTCGTGAACTCCATTGATATTTTTCATCAAGATATTTGGCTCCGTTGATTTGACGAACGTAACAGGCTTTAATTTACTGTTGTTACTCTGCTGCCTTCCAGACTTCGTTTTCATCCCGTATCTTAAAAAAACGTCTACTTACAATCCAGCCTTAAAATTTCAGGTTTCTCAAGTCGATAGCGCCCTTCCGACAAGGCAAACCGTATCAATCATGGTCAAATGCTAAATATATTTAAAATAAAATCATATGCACAATGCTTCAACAATGTGAATAATTATTCACTAGAATTAAGTGAAATGAGTGTTTCACAAACCAGCTAACATTAATGAAATAAAGTATTTTTCATTTGTCTAACGACTCTTTAATTTTCGAATAAATTAAATTTTGTCCAAGCATTGCAAATATGACTATAATATGTTGACTATAACTGACATCACAAAAACGTTCTGGAACAAACCGACCTGAAATAAGAGAACTAGCGTAACTCGTGCAACTTCTCGTTGGACTTCTTCGAACCATACAAAAAAAACTCAACACAAAGCCAATAGCACCAAGCAAAAGCGAGAAAACGTAAGCATAGCGGATTCCATTGTCTAAAAAATACACACAATAAGTATATTGAATCTTTGTTCCAATGCCAAAAAACTTTTAACAAAAACTTTTCCTAAGTGTACAGCTCTTCCCCGAAACAAATTAAGGACCAGCCCCTTGGGCAGGGGAGTTTCCTACAACCTGGTCTATCGATTAAACCCTTAATCCCAAATCTGGATGGGTAATTTTTGAAGAAATCGAAAAAGTTTGAAAAAATGGCCTAAAAACCGAAAAATTGACTTTTCCTAAGTGTATAGCTCTTCCCCTAGACAAATTAGGGACGAGCCGTTTGTGTAGGGGGGGGGGGGGTTCCTACAACCTGGTCTATCGATTAAACCCTTAATCCCAAATCTGGACGGGTAGTTTTTGAGGAAATCGGAAAGATTTGAAAAAAGGCCAAAAAAGTCAAAAAAGTGATTTTTCCTAAGTCTATAGCTCTTCCCCTAGGCAAGTTAAGGACCAGCCGCTTACGCGGGGGAGTTTCCTACAACCTGGTCTATCGATTAAACCCTTAATTTCAAATCTGGATGGGTAGTTTTTGAGGAAATCGATAATTTCCGAAAAAATAGGCAAAAAAATCAAAAAAGTGACTTTTCCTAAGTCTATTGCTCTTCCCCTAAGCAAATTAGGGACCAGCCGCTTGTGCATGGGAGTTTCCTACAACCTGGTCTATCGATTAAAGCCTTAATCCCAAATCTGGACGGGTAGTTTTTGAGGAAATCGAAAATTTCCGAAAAAATGGGCAAAAAGTGAAAAAAGTACCGAGTTGTGAAGCTTTTCTAAGACCGTAGGGGGTGGGGTAGGGTAAAAATTGCCCTAAATTTCATGCAGGCAGGTAGGTGAAACGCTACTGAATCCATTGGTACCACTTTTATGAGAATCTGACGGGCAGTTTTTTGGGAAAGCGAATTTTTCGAAAAAGCGTCTCAAAAAAAAAAAAAAAAAAACCAGATCTCATCTGAAAAAAAAAAACGTTTTCATAATACCTGTTTAATAAATCAAACAGGAATTTACTGTTGTTACTCTGCTGCCTTCCAGACTTCGTTTTCATCCCGTATCTTAAAAGAACGTCTGCTTACAATCCAGCCGATGAAAATCCATTAACCAAATCTAACTTGCTCTCTTGAACCAATTTTGGTTCATTTTTCATAATTTTTTTCTTAACTCTGTTAAGCCCTATCATTGATGCATGTTATAAAACAGCTTTTCTAAACAATAGGAATCGCAAATTAGCCGAACTATGATTTAAAATCAGAATAAAAACTAGACAAACAGAGGCGATATAAAAATTAATGACTATGGTAAAAAAAATACATTAAAAAATCATTCTTTTTGCAAGTTGAGCTGCAAACCAAACAAACAGATGAACAGCCATCCCTTTTGTACAAACCGAACAGCAAAATTATACAATATCTACAAAATAGACCCTTGAATTCGTGATAACAAAAAGAATGAAACTCCCCCACTCCTCAGGTATTTGACCTCATGTCGACCCAAAGGATCCCCCTTTGTACAATTTTGGGATTTCTGGCTCACTGACCCTTAAATGTCTTTGGCGCCATTATAAAC